ATGGATTAAAAGATCGTGGGTTCAAGTCCTCTGATCAACTGAAGAAAATCTGTTTATGACGTCGATAGTAATTTCAGCTATTTCAGTTATTTTTCTTTTTCAGGATCAGTCGGAAATTTTGTGTATATTTGCTTCCGCACGGCTCGCTCGCAATATTTGATGCGTCATGCCTCTAGACGGTGATGAAACATAACGCATCAATCGTCACTAACGCGCAGGACTCGCAATAGGAACATTACCGTGAGCATTTCAAGTACTATACACTTCCTCGTACTTCCTGTACTTCCTTGTACTTCCTCGTACTTCCTTCTACTTCCTCGTACTTCCTCGTACTTCCTCGTACTTCCTCATACTTCCTAGTACTTCCTTGTACCCTTGTACTTCCTTATAATTCCTCATACTTCCCTTACTTCCCTTGTACTTCCTCATGCTGTACACCATACTTCCTCAGCGGTTTACCCCTCGGTGTAAGCTCTTCGTGACATACCCTGTATAATGGCTCATAAGAGCAATGCAATTATCGAAAAATTACACCGGTAATTACACTGCGAAAACATAAAAAACGGGTCTTGTTGCACATTTTATGTATAGTCTGTCATTATAATATCCCTCAGAAGAAAAAAATATATTTCTTCGAGGAATTCTTTATTCGTGAAATATTCCAATGAATTACATTGGTGCATAAAAATGATCGAATAATCTTTATGCACTTGTGCCCTCTGCGAGCAACAGCCACGGTAATTTGGCGAAAAAAAAAAAGATTATCTGAAATTGTGACTAAAATAACGTATGAAATCTTCTGAAAATTGGCATGCCCTTGTTTTTTTTTGACACTTTAATCCCTCCTGGCTTCAAAAATTATGTTAACACAGTCAGTCATTTCAGGAAGTATCAATTGTATTTCAGAACAGTCAATTGAATTTCAGAAAGCGTAATTTGTATTTCGATTAATATTTTCTGAAGGTTAGGTTAGGATCAATGTGAGTGGGGCGAATAACACCCCTCCACTGCAACCCCAGATGGGTCTATTGTTTCTCACCCCTACAGGTTACAGTTTACGGTAAAATGCACTCATTTTTACAAAGTTCATGGTTGAATAAGGTGAGATTTGTCTGAAATCGATAGGTTTTAAATTGGTTAAGCCAAATATGTCGCATCTTAGTCTCTCTAAGCAAGAGCATGAACATAGTATGTGTTCAGCCTTTTCGTCTTCCACACAGCAGAACCGACAGTCCGCTTGTTGGTTCAGACCCGTCCTTCCTAGGTGGTGTCTTCGACGACAGTGTCCCGTAAGCGGCCCTGCCAGAATCTACAGGTTACCCTTGCTCCATTCTAGGATCTGCCTGGTCTTTTCTTTCGTAGGTTTAGGCAGGAACACCTTCGAATGGGTGAATCCTGGTAATTCAGACCAGTGCGTGAGTCTCTTCCCCTCCGCTCAGTTCTGGCTTCACTTGCGGAGACCCCATAGTATGGTTCTGGTCCTATGGACACAGATTTCTGTCCCCTGTTTGGCTTTCTCGTTGCCCTCCACCCCTGAGGTCCAGGCACCCACAGTAGAGTGACTCTGTTCTTAGCATCCAGGCATTCTAGGGATTCAGCTCCATACAAGCTTGGAATTTATCTTGCTGGAGCTCAGTGCTTTAAGAGCAGCCTGACTGTCTGATACAATACTGAGGTTTTTGTTTACTAGAGGTCTATTCGTCAAATCTCTAGCACAGAATTCAATTGCGAAGACCTCCGCCTGAAAGATTGTAGCATACTTACCGAGATTGACTGAGACATTTTCTGAAATACAAATGACACTTTGTGAAATTCAATTGACTATTCTGAAATACAAGAGAAGTTTTCTAAAATACAAGTGACTATTCTGAAATACAAATGACGCTTTGTGAAATTCAATTGACAATTGTAACAAACCCTTCCAATATGTAATCAATATTCCCTTATTATGTAGGTTAGGTTCTACCTAGTTATAGTTATTGTTAGATACTTGAATTTGAATCTCGCGCCGTTTTAGTACTATGATTTCGCGGGTGAACTGAATTACCGCGAAGTGAAAAAGTGTGAAAGAGGAAGAGGTAGCAGCGACAAGGATGGTGAGATGGGACTAGCGCACTGGATGCGAGGGTGTCGATGGAGAAGTGAGGGCTCGAGAAAAGTAGTTGATTAACAGTATTAGCTCCCGAAATAACTATGAATTTAGCATATTTTTGGACTGTAAAGTGAAACTACACACACATTATCGAGGTTCCTACTATATTGTTCCTAGGATGAAAATCGCCAACGAGTAATAAACTATCGAGTGCTATAGGACTTCTGTGAGTAAACTTTTCGTTATTTCTTGAGACTATTTCGTGTTTGGACTACTATGGACATAAGTTTTTGCATGAACTGTTGACGATTCTATGCCTATTTGGCTATTTGGATGTCGTTGTCCACCTATTTGTCATACCGGGTGACACAGGAAACATGTAGCAGCCTGTAGTTTATTTATTTGAAGAGATACGATTTTGAAATTCACGGGGTATATAATAAATGGTAGCGCACTTTACGAACTTAACTACAATTTTTTTCCACCACCTGTTTGACCGGAAGTGACCCCAACTTTTTTTGTTCAAATGTCACCCTGTACATTTCTTCAGTCTATCTTTTTCGCCTTGTATTTCTGTATCCAACCATGTATCACAAAGTGGCATTTATTTCTTAATTCGCTGTTGAATTGCTTTTTATTCAAAAAGAATAAGTTGGCTGTGACATGAATTCGATGATATATCGACACTTGGTAGGCTTTGAAATTCAAATATCATTAGTAAACCGATATTATTCAAAATGTTTTGATATTCTGATCAATGTCTGCAGGTTGTCAATAGCTCGTTTGAGTCAAGATGAAAACCTTCGAAAATAACTCATGATAACTCAGGAATCTGAGATAGGAACATATTTTTTCGAATTCAGCTACTCGTTCAGAAACTATCTGTCTTTTATTTTCGCCATGTACCTATCACATGATCTTCCCATTTTGAATAATAAAACTAAAATTGTTCCTCTTATTCGATGATCCACAGGGCTATCAGTCAATTTTTCATAATTATTTCACTTAGTAGGCGGTGTACCTACACAAAATGTTTCATGTGTTTGACAGTTAATCGATTGCAGCAATAATTTTTCTTCTTCATTTGTGTGTTGATTGAAATTGCATATTAACAACATATCGACTTTTTCGTTTCTTGAATACATTTTCCGTCTATTGATAATATGCAATTTTAATCAACACACAAATGAAGAAGAAAAATTATTGATGCAATCGATTAACTGTCAAACACATTAAACATTTTGTGTAGTTACACCGCTTACTAAGTGAAATAATTATGAAAAAAAAGACTGATAGCCCTGTGGATCATCGTATAAGAGGAACAATTTTAGTTTTATTATTCCAAAGGGAAGATCATGTGATAGGTACATGGCGAAAATAAAAGACAGATAGTTTCTGTACGAGTAGCTGAATTCGAAAAAATATGTTCCTATCTTAGATTCCTCAATATCATGAGTTATTTTCGAAGGTTTTCATCTTGACTCGAACAAGCTATTGACAACCTGCAGACATTGATCAGAACATCAAAACATTTTGAATAATATCGGTTTACTAATGATCTTTAAATTTCAAAGCCTACCAAGTGTCGATATATCATCGATTTCATGTCACAGCCAACTTATTCTTTTTGAATAAAAAGCAATTCAACAGCGAATTGAGAAATAAATGCCACTTTGTGATAGATGGTTGGATAGAGAATTTCAAGGCAAAAAAGATAGACTGAAGAAATGTACAGGGTGACATTTGAAAAAAAAAAGTTGGGGTCACTTCCGGTCAAACAGGTGGTTGAAAAAAATTGTCGTTAAATTCGTAAAGTGCGCTACCGTTTATTATATACCCCCTGTGAATTTCAAAATAGTATCTCTTCAAATAAAAAAACTACAGGCTGCTACATGTCTTCTGTGTCACTCGGTATATTAAATAGTTGCCAAATTTGTGACAGTCTTATATCGAACCCCCTGCAATACAACTGGAAAAGGTGTAGTATGGTTCAAGTTGTTCACTTTACTAGCTTCTTGTGATTTTCGTACGTTTCTTTCGAATTTGAGAAACGAATTATGTTGCTTAAAAACCACACTCCGAGTTGTTCATTCTTTCGGAGGTACCAGTCATCACTATTTGAAATTATTTCGCTATAAAGCTGGACATAGATAGCTAATGGACGCATTATGTCGGATGTCATTTCCAGAATGCTGTGACGACTTCTCATTTTCACTAGTAGTCTGCTAGTTTGTGCTACAAGTTTTGTGCAATTCGCAATATGTCTCTCTCTTCAGAAAGATGTGGAGAGAAAGTAGAAAAGTAGGTAAAGAAAAATTTCCATAGCTGCTGACGGTGTGGTAGTGATGGCTTTAGTTATTGCCACACAAGCCTGTCCCTGTAAACTAGATAGCTTTGTTGCCTGCACCGTTCCCGGTGAATCGTCAAAATTATTGAACTGAATAATTGAAATGACATTTGGAATGCAACAAAATATTTTGACAGTTCTTAACAAAACGAAAATATGAATTGACGATGATCTGACACTGAAGAACCTTGCTATTGTCGTAGTTCAGTTGTTGAAAATGTAGAATTCGGAAGTGGGCCTTGGTTTCGCGGCCGTTGCTATGGGTAACGGCTGCGAAGTTGTACTTCGCGTACTGTGTAGAGACCGCGAAGTACTGTCTTCGCGTACGATTGCATGAAAAGGTATTTCGCGTCCTAGGCATTCAAATAAAAACCATTTTACATTATTATACAATATTTCCATTATTTATAATGATAATACTAGTATTCATGATCCCAAAGTGTACCCATTTTTCAAATACTCCGGGCAGGCCGTCGTGCTCGATGAAATACGCGTGTTTTAAAGACCTCAAAAACCACGTATACTTCAATATTCTATTGATGCAATTATAATTGATTCTAGACTGTATGACGCAAACACCAATTCAGTTATCAGTCGCTACGAGATACACCGCATTCTATTTTATGCCCGTGGATCTGTAGAAAGTAACGAAGCTGGCTGTTTCGCCTTCACCTGGTCTCATGGAGATACCCAAGAATCTGCCATATTTCAGTGTCACATCTTCCGATGCGAAATCGCCGAGGCTGTCTCACGGGTCTCGGCATGTTTTGCTAAGGCTTTCCAGAGAGTACCGAGGTCCATGAGTAGTTCAGTGGTTTCGACATTGGATATGGCAGGTTCAGTCACTACTATCTCCGAGGTTCGCACACTGATGTACGTGTTTGAGGTTAATTTGGAAATCAAGGAAGACGATGGAAAAGTTAGTGTGCTATTTTTGTAAGTGATAGCTGAATAACTATACGTTCTGTGATTTTAGGGATCTCTCTATTCTGTTGGGAAAGATAAAAATGGATTCAAATTGAAAGCTAACATTGAAAAACAGTTGTGTTTTGTTATTCGGCAAGTGTCCGATAATGGACCTCAGTTATGCATTGAACGATGTTTTGGGGTATTGGTGGCAGCTGGACGACATGTTAAACACTCGGACATGCAACTGCTCGAAATGGTAATTAGATGGTGTTTCTAAGATAATTTGTTACATTTTACTATTAGCTATTTTTTAAATTATAAAACATTTCATTACCTTGATTTTATGTATTTTTTGAGATACTATTTCTTGTCCATCCTATGTAGTATCGATTATCCATTAATCCTGGTCAATTGTTTATGCATATACCTCAATCTTCAAACAACAGGGTAATTTATTTATTCAATAGAAAATCAGGACTTATCATAAATCTTTGAAGCTTATCAAGACCATTCAACGTTTTTGCAACACAACTGTGGAAGTTTGTCAACATCTCTGTATTCATATTCGAAATGCTGACCTCTTCTTGTATTCACAGGTGTTAGTTGATTTTTTCGTCGATATTCTCGAATATAAACATCAAATATTGCAGTTTGGTCTGAAATAAATAAACAAAGCTGTTAGTTACAACTTTGTATAGCTTATGACACATTTTATTACTTTACATATTATGGTTATTATCAGAATAGCTACTTTTTTCAATAAGAAAAATCTGCACCTTTCAAAAGCGGTAGCTCTTGATGATGTGAAACATCGATAAGCACCTATAGTGACATATTCCTCAACAATAATAGGAGCATAACTGCCTAGCAGGAATTCACTTCCAGCATAGGATGTACTAACCCAACCTACTATCTAATACCACTTATACCATAAGACGAAGGTTCGTTCACTTATGAGGTTGAACTGAATCCCATGGAGCATGCGCATTTGAGATCTATCATACAGGGTGTTTCACAGGTAAAGGGAAATATTTCAATGGTAGATAGGGGTCACCAAGGTGATTCTGAAAATACCATATTTGATATGTCTTGGAGTTTTCATAACGGAGATACAGGGCGATTTATCGCTTTCGAATAATTATTAATTCGTCTATAATTATTGAACTACGCAGTTAATTTTTCTAAAATTTGGTATGGAGCTTAAACTTGGGACGTTGAATGCATTCACCTATCGGGCGAAGTGAAAATCTAGGTTCGGCTTCAGGAAAAATTTACATTTATTCGAAATATTCAAATAACACACTGTATATAATAATCGACAAAGTTCATCAAAGGAATCATGAAGAGGAGGAAAAACTGAACTGGATTTGATGCATTTTGTTTTCCCGCCACCAATTCTCATCGTAACAATCATAAACAGGAAGCTAAAAGTATGCCAATTTCAAGAGTATTAAAATTATGAAACCACTTCCAATTATGATTATTTGATATATTCTTGTTAAATGATAGTTCGAAAGAACTTACTTAGTCTCACAGTCTTTATAACAGAAATACAGGGTGAATTATCACTCGTCCATAAGTATTAAACTACCCATCGCAGTAATATTTTCTCAAATTTGGTATTGAGCTTACTTGGGACGATGGATTCATTGACCTATCATGCAGAATGGAAATACAGGTTCTGCTTCAGGAAAAGTCTCATAGTCTTTATAACAGAGATACAGGGTGAATTATCGAATTATAATTCCGCCTGATAGGTTAATGAATCCATCGTCCCAAGTAAGCTACATACCATATTTGAGAAAATGTTACTGGGTAGTTTTATACTTATAGACGAGTGAATAATAATTATTCAAAACCGATAATTCACCCTGTATCTCCGTTATAAAAACTGTGAGACTTAGTAAGTTCTTTCGAGCGATTTTTTGACTAAAATATATCGAATAATCATAATTGACACTGGTTTCATAATTTCAATACTCTTCAAATTGACATACTTTCAGCTTTCTGTTTATGATTGTTACGATGAGAATTGGTGGCGGGAGAACAAAAAGCATCAAATCCAGTTCAGTTTTTCCTCCTCTTTACGATTCTTTTGATGAACTCTGTCAATTATTACATACAGTGTGTTATTTCAATATTTCGAATAAATGTGAATTTTTCCTGAAGCCGAACCTGGATTTTCTCTTCGCCCGATAGGTGAATGAATTCAACGTCCCAAGTTTGAGCTCCATACCAAATTTTAGAAAAATATACTGGGTAGTTCAATACTTATAGACGAATGAATAATTATTCGAAATCGATAAATCGCCCTGTATCTCCGTTATGAAAACTCTAAGACCTATCAGATATGGTATTTTCAGAACCACCTTGGTGACCTCTATCTACCATTGAAATATTTCCCTTTACCTGTGAAACACCCGTATATCTTACTCTCAAGACAGTTTGAAGAGCGGATGATATTTTTGACATATAGGGTGACTAAAAAAATAAAAAATAATATTACCTTACTGAAAAAACCACTCACATTTTTATTCAACATGTCACTTTCCAATGGTATATTCCCGGACTGCTTCAAAACATCAGTCGTAGTACCGATTTTCAAGAAGGGTGACAGATCCGAGACGAATAACTATAGAGCAATATCGCTATTAGCGAATTTTAGTAAATTACTTGAATGGATCGTTAATCACCAAATCAATAAGTACTTATCCAACAAGAACATTTTAACGGAATCACAATTTGGCTTCAGACAAAATCTCAACACAACTGATGCGGCTCTCACGTTCCTGGAGAGGTTACATAATGCTTTGGAATCCAAAGAGTTTCCACTTGGAATATTCTGTGACCTCTCCAAGGCGTTTGACTGTGTCGATCATTCAATACTATTAAATAAATTAGAATTCTATGGAATACGAGGGACGGTCAAAAATTGGTTTGAAACTTATTTGCATGATAGAGAAATGTTGGTTAGAATAGAACACAAGGATCATAACAACGTCGAGTATTATCAGTCAGAAAGGGGCCACATAAAAAGTGGTGTGCCTCAGGGTTCTATCCTCGGACCAACATTGTTTCTCATCTACATTAACGACATAGTCTTTAACTTTCCCGAAATCTCTTTCTCTATTTTTGCTGATGACACTAGCATTATCATCAGCGGCCATTCAGTTGATGACCTCACCTCAAAATCACAAAGTGCGATGGACGGTATAGCAGACTGGTTTTCAGCAAATAAGTTATCATTGAATATATCTAAGACTCAACAGATACTGTTCAACCCTTATAGAAATTTCCAAGATGTTGAGGTAACTCTGAACGATGAAGCAATCTCTTCGAACGAATCAACTAAATTTCTAGGGATCACTATTGATATGAAACTAAATTGGATGGAACACATAAAGCAGCTGAATACCAAACTGAACAGAGCAACTTTTGCATTGCGAACTGTCCAAGCGAACACAAACTTTCAAGTCTCGAAAATGGTATATTTCGCATATTTTCACAGCCTGATGCAATACGGAATAGAATTCTGGGGTAATTCTGTAGGTTCCCAAACCACGTTTATAATTCAAAAACGAGCCATCCGTACTTTGTTCAAATTGAGCTATCGAGAATCTTGTAGAGAGTGTTTCCTTGAAAATAAGATATTTACTTTGACAAACACATTCATATTCAAACTTGCCCTTCTGATCCATAAAAAACGTGATGTTCTTCAACATTCAGATCATCGTCATCAGTACATGACAAGAACCCATAAAATAAAATTGCCCAACTACAGGTATGAAAAAACTCGTAATGGACCCCTGTACACGGGAATAAAAATTTATAACCATTTGCCCCCTTACATGAAGGAACTATCAATAAGAAAATTCAAACACTCACTGAAGGATTTATTGCACCACCATGTATGTTTTTAAGTAGTTTTAAGTAATATGATATCATGTTAAAAAAAAAAAACAATATTCATCAGTAGTAGCAATCATGCTGCAGTTTTCAAATGTATAGAGCTTAGACTTTTTTTCATTATCAAATAATTTTGTTAAATGACACTAATCTTTCCTTATGCCAATGGCTAAATGTACACCTGTTCTGTGTATATTGGAAATAAATGTACTTACTTACTTACTTACTTACTTACTTACTAACACACAAAGAATTGATTAGAGGGAGGACATTCTTCAGATTATTCAATTTTGTTGCCTGCACCAAGTGATCAGTTTGAATAAACTATATCATCATATTATTTGTCATGTCATTGTGTCTTGATCTTAATCTTGATTAAGTAGATGCCCGTATCGTCGTTTTCCATGGCCAGTTGACATCTTTGGTCCACTGGTCAAATTGGAGTTGGTTTAGTACTACGATAAATAATGGTGCGTTCTTATTGGGTGTCTGATATTTCAATGTCGAAGTTCACGAGCTTCATGATTTCATGAGGCAGTTCTGTCAAATTGCCTGAATTGGTCGGAAAAAGTGTTAAAGATATGACATCAAGCTTACCACTGATTATAAGAACCAATTTCATCACTATGAAAATATGGAAAATCGAAGTTATCTCATAAAGTTTACAAGCAGAGCACAAAATATGTATTTAGAAAACTGAAATATATGTAGGAAACTGAAAAAAATGGGTGACACTCATTGTTATCAATGCGCGAACCTAGTCATTTTTTGACGTTTGTAGAGAAATAGCTATTCCAGATTCGCAGACTTAGGACTCACCTACACGGCTCTCCTGAAAAACTGTATTAGTTACTTAAATTACTAGCCCAGACCGGTAACTAACGAGTAAATTTCTTTCAGAAGGAACAAATAGGTTTGGGCACAACGATTCAGGAAAAGAATTGCTCAACTATATCAGCGGATTGGGACCCTAAAGAAGCCACATTCAGGCCTCTAAACGTAGAGACGCCAAAAGATACAAAGCAGTACATGACCGTCGCTTTAGACTTAGTGATTAGAGGTATACAAGAGCCTGTCAGATTCTTAATAGAGACTACTGTTCGAGTATTTGCACCGAATGAAAGAAACTTTTCGTATTTTAATAGGAAGACGTTGGTACAGCAATTTTATCTGAATTTGAAAGAGGTGAGCTACATTAATAATTAGCGATGAAAGTTATTATACACAAGTGAACCGTTGTTCTGATTGAATGCTTAAAATAATCTTGTTGACAAAGCTAGGACAGATAAAATATCATGAATTTGTATAATAATGAAAACATAAAATACTGGACGACACATCTCAAATACACATTAAAATATCAGGTTAGATAGAAAAGATACATGAGCCGCTTTCCAATTGTACATTTGTTACCCCCGAAATGAACTGGTACTAAGCTACACTTGAACTTAACCAGGATGTTTTAATTGGAACATAATTTGTATCCGAGTATTTTAGTGACATTTTATTGACAGATTTCCCGTCAGATTGGCTCGAAAGTTGAATTGGAATTTTCGATTTTGGTATTTTAATGATGGAAAAACTTATGGATTATATGATTTTGGTAGGTGTAATGTCTAATTTCGCACATTTCATTCAAAATAACCCACCGGAAATGCTGAAGCAAACTGAAACACTATCAACAAGTAGTGAAAATTCTGATGACGAGGCTGAAGTGGATATCACTTTCATAAAAAGAAAAAGAATAAAAATTTCGTGAAAGATACTGTGTTGTTGCTGTGCTTTAAGGTAGTCTTCCTGGATCCAAATACATTCTATACTATGTACTCCATTTTCGGGATTCTCTAGGTATGTCCAGAGATACATTTCACTCATTGTTTTGTATTTGATAAAATAATGGTTAAACAGGCACACCAGTTATTAACGATGAAGACTCGGATGAAGCGACGGTCGTTAACTTAATTGCTGTTTTTTTACTCTTTTGAATTATACTTTCGTTCTCAACAAAACAAAAAATAATCATTTCAAAAGACATAAACCAACATCTGACACGTCTGACAGACACTTTTTTGCTTTGACAAATGCCTGACTATTTTTGAGTTTGTTACCCTATTGAAAAAGCTGGTGCTCGAGGGGAAGGGGGTAGGTAGCATTGGCTAGTTCAAGTGCTCCAAGCTCTTTGTAATGGGAATGCTGTTGATCAGTTCAAAATCTACTCGGAGTTACTCGGTGCTACTCGCTGTGGTAATTGGAAAGCGGCTATGAAAATACACCCTGAAATTGAATTATAGTTGTTTCATCACATTGATATTCAGGCACAAAAACATAAACTTCGTCCTAATTCAATCAGCTTCGTATTTGTAAAACCTTTTTGAGTGGTGAGATAATTAAATAATGATCTCTTCATGATGTCTACATGAAATATGTCAAAGATTTTTCGTAAAATCAAAAAAATGTTATTTTGTTTAGTTATAGGAAAGTAGTTTTTTCTGTTGAATATTCCGAATCATATTATACAGGCTGAATCACGGTGGATGCCACATTAGACGTTTCTGGAGAACGCAACGTAGGATTATACCGAAAATTTGGTTTCTTGGATAATGTGTTCTATCTACCTAAAATATTCTCAACACTGCGACGTTGCCGCTTATATTGAAAAGTAGCAACACCTTTGATTTTTTGTATGGGACACCCTATAAATTATTCCTTTTTCACATTCTTCCTTAAGAGCTGATTTCATCGATCTATTACAATTTGGGGTCTAGCGGGAATGATAACAAAGATAAAGAGTGTGAAACTTCAAGAATTTCTTGTGTCGAAACTATTCATATTTAGTCAAGACGGTTTTTATGTCCCTATCTCAACTTTTCATGTACTATTAATTGATATTTAATTGAAATAGATACAGGGTGGTCGAACATCTTAATTAGATACAGGGTGGTTTAACATCCTAATTCTGAACCACCCTGTACCTATTTCAATTTAATATCAATCGATAGTAAATGAAAAGTTGAGATAGGGACATGGAAACCGTTTTGACCAATTAAGAATAGTTTCGACAAAATAAAATCTTTTAGTTGAAAAATCTCGATTTTGTGTGCCTTCCACCGTGAATCAGCCTGTATACATATATATTTTTATCTGAAAGAGAATTCTCAACTTCAGATTTTATTTTTGAATTTTTATTGCCATTATATAGCCATTAAAGTAGTGGTTTCCTGTTGAATATACTGATGAAAAATTAAATATTTTGATCAGATAGAGAATGCGAATTCTCAATGTATTTCTTTCTATGTACCCATTTCATCATGTTCATATTATATCTGAGAATATTCCTTTTAAAAAAATGTAGCATTTAAAAAAGTCAATTTGACATTTATTTCCGATATAAAGTACCGCATTCATGAAAATACTTAATGACCTCCATCCATATTAGTACAGTACTGAATTTTCAGATTCCATCCAATTATAGTTTTCCTCCTAACGATCGATGTAGTTCTTGATGGGACATGCTGTATTACTTTATTTCTCTACCTTTGTACATACTTTCTAATGAATTATTTTGAAGATATCAAGTTTTCATAAAATATGTGTACTAGGTTGTTTCTGATCTGAATGACGTCTATTATGAAGTTTTGAACATGGAAACGTCCGGAGAACTAGACAGAAATTTGCTGAATCTCAATCTGAATTTAACCAGTTTAATACCATCACCTAGTATAACGTCCATTGACACAATCACCCCTAAGGAAGAATATAATTCAGGTAGGATAAAAACCAAACGAAAATGACGATCACGAGTATCAGTTTTTTTTTCATTAATTATAGACGGTGACGAACCCCTATTGAGTGGTACTGGTCTAGTATCAAAAGATTGTGCTGAGGACGTCTTAGAGAATTGGGCAGATGTTTTGCTCAAGTGGAAGTCGACCAAACAGAAACCCAAGCAACTGTCTGGGCTAGTAAGGCTGGGTATACCTGAAGCACTCAGAGGAGAGGTATGGCAAAGACTAGCAGGAGTGGAGGAACACACAGAAATGATGGAGAATTATAGAGTACTCATAACAAAGGTTAGTTGATTTGATATTCAAAGTTGCTTGCTTGATTATGATCGGGTAGGTAGGTCTGAAGAATGATCAATTTATTGCTATAATACAAGAAAAAAGTGCATACATGAACCATGAGATTTGTAGAATGAATAATGATTCTGAGACACTATGGGTAAAATTCAATAACTGGGCTATTATGAACAATAAGGTGACTGACATACCAATCAAATTGTGAATTGTACTTGAGTCATTCTTCTATCACAGTGGATCTTGTAGCAAGAACGTAACCCGCTCAATATTACTAACAAATGAATCACGTTTCTGTCTAAGTAGGTATTTATTTCAGTTATTTCAGTTATTGCCTTACATTTTTTTTCTTCATTGATACATATTATACAAATAATATATAAAGTATAATTGAAACTACAAATAGTGAACAAAACTAACATATCATTAAGTTATCTCAAAATAACAGTACTCATATTATAGTGAACAAGAAGGAAAACAAGAGAAACAGAGAAGAAAAAAAAGCAAAGAAAATTCAGAAAGTTGAGCATTCCTTTGCATAAAAATACATTTTTCTACAAACGTCAAAAAATGACAAGGTTCGCACATTGATAACAAATTGCGAAGTGACACTTTTTTCAGTTTCCTACGTTACCATGATACCTTGCACAAAACAATGCGCGAAGTAAAACAGTGCGCGAAGTACCTACTTCGCGCATTGTTATGTAAAATATATGAGATATTTATATTTCAACTTTATATTCCTCAATCGATCAAACATCCACGAAATCATTTATTTTTGACTGTTCAACCACAACTTTGTTTTATCTCTTGGAGGGCACACAAGGAAATTCCTATTATGTTCGTGGAACATCGTGCGTACCTAGGAAGGATAGGGGGAAGCCTTTTGAGCCAGTTCAACACTATTTTTTATATCAAGCTAAGCATATGCTTAATTTAGAACTATATTTTTCGACGTTTGTAGAAATTGTTTGCAACTCGAGCGCGAAATACTTTGGTCATCTCGACTATTTTTTAATCTCGGCTACGCCTCGTAAAAAAATCAGATCTCGATCACCAAAGTAGCATTTCGCGCTCTAGATACAAAAATAACTATTATTCACTTCATTTTTGAATTGTAAAATATTTGGGCTGTTTTTGATACCTGGTAATTTATCGAATTTCGAAATCGGCTCATGTGCAAACTTTTTTGTCCAAGTTAAGAATTGGCAGCTTCAAGATGAAACAAGTTATATTGCCTAGTGTGATGACCATGAATTTGGGAATTTCTACTTGATATAAAATTTGATTTAAGCTTTTTGTTGATGATATAATAGGAAATTTCGAGAGTATTGATTGAATAGTGTTTTTCCAAAGAAAATGTGTTTGCGTCTTCATATAGTTGATTTGTTGGAGTATCATATGTCGTGTGAACTTGGCAGCGCCGTGTCTACAAATATTGATCAACACCTTCCATGTCGCCTTCTACTTCTATATGCGGTACTCGCTTCGATTGCATCACACTGCCTGCCTTCTCCCAGTTTCACGTTCCGTCGAGGGCCATGGCATGATTGACAGCAGGAGTATCTTATGGTTTCGTGTCATGTGTAAAATACTTACAACAGGTGCCTTTTGATTTTTGATCCCCCTTTTCCCGTTGTGTAAAGTTTCCGGAGCACACTACATTTTGGCTGATTTTCGGATCGGGACGTTGGTATTCCATGATATTTTCCTTCATGGGATAAACTATCCGCACCTCCATTGTTTTAGGTAGGTGGTGGCTTTTTATTTATTCACCCTGTACTATAAGACGATCTGGTACGTTTTTCGGCCTTCATTGTTGTCTGGGAGGTTGTTATGCTAAAAATGTTGTGTCTGGCTTGCATGTATACAGGCTGATTTTAAAATAAGTGCATATATTTTAAACACTAAGAAAGCTTGAGGTATACAACCGAATAGCACTATTAAAAATATTGTTAGGATCAAAATAGATTTGGGGCAAAATACCCTTTTTCCGCCCAGATTTCTACTTCTGTCACAACTATCGTTTGCGATCCGCAGTCGACCGTGATGAACGAAGCGACGTTGCCACTCTACATGAAAATTAGGAGATATTAAATAAAATGTATAATCGAGAGAATGTACATGGGGAAGAAGTTAACCCTGGTCTTGAATTTCAGAAAGATAATACATAAACTTTAAAACGGACTCACCCAAGATTTGTACACATAAGCTCGAATAGCGTATAGCTTAACACCTCACGGTTGGAAGTTCTTTTACTGAAAAATCCTTTAGACCCTTCCTTCCACCTCCTTGCATCGCTACAATTTCGTGTCCTTAGAGGAGTCTCATGGGCCCCGCACAATAACGACCCGACATAAGAACCATATCATTCAGCTCAATGTTTGAATAATGCATCGTCAATTCGCCACATTCCAAGCAAATTGTCAGAAACAAAACTTTACATTTACTAGTCAGTGTTGTTCTTTGTTTGTTCCTGGGTCTGATTTTTTCGTAATAGATTTCCTTGGAAGAAGGTATCAGATTTGTATCAAAAGGTAATAGACTCGAAAAATCTGATATTTGACATTCGGAATGTCATTCTTGTCAAACCCTATCGCACTAATTACAGTTTTGACATAAATATAGAACATAGAACGGAACATAATTATCCGCTGAGCACAGAAATACATTTTTTAGTATTGGAACATATTTTGGTGCTAATAGCAAATAGTAATAGATTCATGACAAATCGTAATATCGTAACAATCTTCGTGAAATAGTAATAGAACGCGAACAATCCTAGTTAGTACTGTCAAAGGTCACAGCAAAGAGGAAATCTATGGTCACAGATACTACTGTTCTGAGAAATGATGTTGACAGATCATATGATAATAGTTTTGTTTATGTGGTTGCTGGTTGTAAACGTAAAATAAAAAATGAAATAATTGGATGTTGTGTCTTGTGTCGTGATAATCGTGATATGGTCGTGATCGTGTTTTTAAATGTGAGATTGCCAGGAAGGATATGTCGTCGTCGAATCGTTTTCGATGGTTTAAGTGCGAATATGAACCAACAAGAACACAGGACGATATTAGTCTGGAATGGACTCGATATTAGTATTTGTTTGTTCTCGGGAGTTTTGCTGTTCGAGCAGGTATGAGAAAATCTACTAGGTGAGTCGATTTTCAACTTTGTGTATGTTGTGTACCTATTTATTGTCTGCTAATTTTGTATCTATCGCTGGGGCCTTATTTTCGAATTGAAGGAAGGGCGACGTTCTATCATTCCCCTCATGTTTCTCTCCGTCTCTCGTGATCCATGGAGATAATCACCCCACAGTTCTCTCAATAAACTTTAAAAAATAAGGCTCCTGTACATATTACATTCACCTCTATTAGTTTCCATAACCTATTCCAATTCATATTCATTCTGTGACAAATTTTTATCAGGATATTCGTCTCTGAAACAATCTGGCATCACTGTCTTTATACGTCCATGAATTGGAGATTCCCTGGGATTCCGCAGATTTCACTTGCTTCCCAGTGGCGTTCTCGAATTTCGAAGCATTTTATGTTCAATTTTCAAAATTAAATTTCTCGTTAATGTGAAGACTTAGGAAAAATCAAATATTTTAGTAATTTTTGTTAGACTCTCTCATATATATGCACTCATTTTAAAATCAGCCTGTATAATATTGAGGGTCTATTGTAAGGAAAAGAAATTCCCAAGTGTCTATTCATCAGTCGGTGAAAGGTCGTTTTCACGCACCTTTAACGCAGTCTGGCGGTATGATTCCACCACACAATGTGTCGAAAATTTTGTATAAATAAGAATAAGGAATTGGCACCTACTTTTTTTACCTTTAAAAACAAAATTTCGTACTTTTGATTTGAAACTGATGCTGAATGTGTATCCATATTACTCTGAATTTTTTTCAACAACAATTTGCTTTAGTTCATCATTCGGTATTCCAGTCCAAATCTGTTATCTTTTTCGAAATTTCATGTTAATTTTTCGGTAACTCTAACCCTAACGTATTGGCATCTGTCATCTGTTCAAATAATATAATAGGTTCATTAGTGATGCTGAACTTGCTGAAGTTTTTATTATTATCTCTGTTCATCACAAGATGTATACAGAGAAAGTCATAGAAACAAAACAAGTTCAGCAAGTTGAGTCTACTATGTGACATTACGCCAGCACCTAATTGGTTAGAATTTTTCCTACTCCAGTGGTACCATCACCTATACTGAAATTTAATTTCCTGTCATTCAAATATTTAGCGGGAAACCGAAAGATACTCTGACAGTTCTGAGTCATGTGATCATCAGGTTGCAACACTGTGTTGTTCGATCTTTCACCAACAGGAACTATAAACAAAGATGCAAAACCTTCCATTGCAGTCCTAACTCGAATAAGACCACCGTCCTGAGGTGAAAAATAACTAACAGAAAGGAGAAGATTGATAAATCAGGTAATGCTATCATCGACGTCAGTTCGAATAAATCAAAATCATAACATAATCCATACTAGAAGATCCAGACAAATATAAAACTAGTCGAAAATATAGAATTTCAGCCAAGGAATCAACAAGGTACGTATCTAACTGTAACAACGGGAGGTACTTGTTTGCTTTGAAAGTTTTCAAGCTGAAATGTTTTAACAAGATCAACTTTATAAATTTTCTTCACTCATTCATTCGTTCCAGGTCAACAGTCTGCTGTCCTGGAGCTTCAAATCACTGCGAAGATAACAGAAAGGATATCTTAACAGCTGGAAACCTCCATCCAGGTAAGTTCAATCAAATTCCTTTATATTTATCAACTTATTAATCTTTGTTTACTTTCAGGTATCTTCAAGACTTCCAGACTACAATAAACTGCTAGAGGCCATGGAATGTCGAAATATAAAGTAGTATGTGTATTTTCATATGAATAAATGGTATTATACAGAGTGAGCAATGCGAGCATATCATAATAAAGGTACCATTTCATTATCATTAAACACTAGAA